CTCTATAAATTCAAGTTTTTATTGCCATTTAGCACTTCACAGTTGAATTTTTAGTGTTCTTTTGACTCTTTTTTGCCCGCGTGACTAATCCCCCCTTTACGATTCGTCCTCTTTTTTTCATATTAAAGTAAATTGGTACTGATATATGTTAAGAAGTCAAAACCACCATCAACTTGCTTGTAAGCGATTCACAAAAACGGGAGCCGTTGACAGTCAGAGGGCAGTTACTGCCGGCACTTGCCACCACTCGACTTACTTCTTGAAAGCTTCCGCCTCTTACGGGAATCGAATACGGACGATTTTTTGACTTTTAACTTCATGGAAGAGGTCTTTTTTTTAATTTTCTGCAAATAAATTAAGTATGCGTCCTTGCGCCCAATTTTGAGGGGTTTTTTTTACCTTAAGCAATTTGGATTTTATTCAAAGAAGATGGACCTTTGCGAGCGATTCATTGAGGAAGAGGAGGAACTGATGATATGTTGACCGGATGCAGTAGCAGTAGATCCATGCATTGACTGAAGCGGATGAATCAACGTGGCCTGTACATGGGTACCATTCTGGATTGGCGGGGGTGGCGGTGGTGGTGGTGGTCCTGGTTGCATATGATGAGCACCGAGGTACATTGCACCGTTCGCTTGACTACTCTCCATCACCAGCATAGGACCCATGGACAACGGCCCACTCATAGTGACCCTGAAAATTCTTTACTATTAGCCTGAAGATTTGGCGTACTTCACGTTAGTAGGGAATCTGGGCAAAAAATTGTTACTCGACCAATTCGCGAAATCACCAAAACTCGTGTGCGCAAGATGAGTTGAATTTTGCAGTAGTTCGACTTCAGACAGAAAAATTCCTTGGTATTTTAACTCTTTTGTGAGTTGTACCGATGCAAAAAAATAAAAGATCTCTCGAGCAGTTCCCGAAGAATTGGCGCACATACATCGAATAAGCAATGGGTACTAACTGGAGGTATGCAGTCCAGAAAGAAAATGCGCAGCCCAGCATAGGTGCACCAAGCGTTTGTGAGTTCCCAACAAACTCAGTAATCTGGGATGCTAGCACTGAGAGCCTGAACTGGGTGGTAATATTTTGCCACCAACAACAACGGCAACGTGATAAGACCCAATTTCAGTTTTCCCGAACGAAATAAATCATTACCACAACTCCAGTTTCCCGAGCTAAGTGTCTGTCTCATTGTCCCAACTCTTTTTTTTTCAAGCCAATTATCTTCCCTAGTGTCCCAGTTCCAATTTTTCCGAGCCAGGTATCTCACAGCTTCAGCTCTAATTTTTTTGTTTCTAGCCAAATCCGACCAGTTTTTGAGCCTAAAATGCCAGATATTTGTACGGGGACTGCCGCTGAAAAAACACTCTCCAAAACCCCCTCCCCAAAAAAAATTTTTTTTGTTGGATGAAAACTGAAATTAGGCTGGAACGCTCCAGGCAAGCCGGTGCGATCATG